TTTTGAGTAGGTTATTGGCAATAAGAGTCTCTTGGACTTTCCTGCCCAGGCTGGCTTCAAACCGTGATCTTCAGATCTCAGCCTCCTGAGTAGCTAGGATTACTACAGTGTTGTGAGCCACTGGCACCGGGCTTAGTTTTAGTTAGTTTTAATTTTTTTTATTTTTTGGAGGAACTAAACTAGATTATCTCAGTATCCTCTTTATATACGAATTCACACTCCCTCTCCAGAGTAGAGTGCTCTCTTAGGCTCCACCTTGTTGATGGCCTTAGTTTCCCTCATTTAGGATAGAGCACTAGTTCACAGCCTTCTCTGGCTAGGATCGGGACTGTGGTGATCAGGAGTTGCCCGGTGTGATCAGGCAGCCCACTCAGGCACTTCAGGGGTGGGGTGGCAAGGCAGTCTGAGAAGCAGGCCTAGGGGCAGATGCTTTGAGATTTCAGATTTCTTGTTCCTTGTTTTTTCCCACATCCCTTCTAGCTCTTGACTAAAGGCCACTTGAGTTTGAGATTGGATGTCTGATGCTAAAAATTAATTGTGATTTTTTTTTTTTCCCCTTATAGGACAAGAAGAAAGAGAAGAAGTGAGATGACAATCCGGCCTCTCCCAGTTTGACCTCGTCCCCCTCTCCCCTCATTTCCTCTTTGCACACATCACAGGTGGCGTGTTCTATGATAATGAAAAGCATCAGAAAAGCTTTTGTACTTTGTGGTTTTCTCTATTTTGAGGTTTTTGTTTTTGTTTTTTGACCAAAAAAAAAAAAAACTGATTAGCAGAATATAGTTTGGAGTTTGGCTTCCTATTCCTGGGGTTCTTCCTTACTCCCTTTTTTGTCAGCCCACCGGTAGCCTCTTGCTCTGCCCAGGCAGCCAGGCCACCAAAATGAGGACTTGGGGCCAGCCAAGAGAACAAACTGCAGGAAGTCTGCCGTCTCACTGAGGCTCAGCAAGTGGACCAGGACTGGTTGATAGAGATGCCTCAGCCTATCCGTCTTCAGCATTGCTTGTTCTGTGCACAGTTCCTGTGGGACTGGGCAGTTTGTTTTCCATTGTGAAGAAGGTTGCTGGTCCCATGACTAACTCAGATTCATCGTATCTGATCTGTCAACCCTACAAAGAAAGTCTGATTGGGTGCTTTGTGTCCTCTGTGCTGTCTGAGCTGGTCTGGCAAGCACCTCTGCCTTGTGATCATGAAGGGAATGTGGACTTAGGAGTGTTCCCTTTCCCACCCCTGCCTGGCCCTCAGGGACTCCGTCAGCTTTCCATCCATGGGGTGGGAGGACTTGAGCACAAAGATGAATCCTTGTGAGGCATTTAGGAAAAGGCTGAGCATGAATGGCAAGGTACACGTAGCCCAGAATTCTCCCAAGTTTTCCTTGGTATTTGTATTGTTTTTTAAATTGGCTTTGAAAATTGGTTATTATCTTCATTACTGCATGACCTCTATCAGGTAGCTATGATTAAAGGCCCCAAAGAGGAAGGCTAGGGAAGGGGAGCAGTTGAACCTCTAGGGTTCATTGTAATGAATCCTGCCAGATGAGCCTAGGCAAGGACTGCTTGGTATAGTGGGGGACAAATCTCCACCAACCCCAGGGGTTCCTCGTAGGATTGGTAAGCGGGCCCCTGGTGACTTGGAAGACGGCCATCGTAGCCCTTCAGTGTATTTTTGTCTAACTCCACCTGGACACTACTAGGGAGTTGTCAGGCCAGAGACTTGGGGCAGTAGATAAATGGTCATTTTACAGATGCATTTTAGTGTTTGTTCTTGTGGTCTTCAAGGCAGAAGCCAGGTGGCCAGTGCTGCAAAGATGCAGCTCTTGTTGCAAACATGGGTGGGAGTCCTAATAGCCATCACTAGGTCCTCCTTGGGGGCTGCCAGAGTCAGGTGGCACA